GTACGTCGTACGTTGTACGTCGTACGCAAAATTTGTTAGCAAGATTGCGCTCATCGTAGAAACTTAATTCAAAATCTGACTTTACAGGATGATTGGGGGTCCCGAGGAATAGAAATCATTAGCTTTTGAGCGACTTTGGTTGATGGGAAAAAATGTCATGCCTGGAGTGATACCTATGAAAAAGAGTCCAATTTTCGTCCAAAAGTCATACTTAATGTGGACTTAAACATTCAAAAATATGTATTGGGGGGTTTTTTGGCACGAGAAAACCGAATCCGACGTTAGTTTTGAGATACAATCAATTTTTAATTCAGTTTCCTTGAAAAAATCACAAAAAAAATGAATTTTTGTATGGGAGCCATGCCTGTATGCTACCTTAATGACGTGAAACTTTGCACAGTCTATTTTTTACACAAAAAAATAACATTCTGAAAGTTTGAAGAGATTTCAATCAAAATTAGGGGTACCTCCCATATAAAATTTTCAATTTTTGGCTCAAAAACGAATATTTTGCATGGGAGGTACTCTTAATTTTGGTTAAAATTTCTCCAAACCTTCCGAATGTTATTTTTTTGTGAGTTATGAAAAGTGTTTCAAAAATAATTTCTATGGCAAAATTAACGTCAGACATATTTTTTAATACAGTTTCCTTGTAAAAGTCACAAAAAAATTGAATTTTTGTATGGGAGCCATGCCTGTATGATACTTTAATGACGTGAAACTTTGCACAGACTATTTTTTACACAAAATAATAACATTCTGAAAGTTTGAAGAGATTTCGATCAAAGTTAGGGGTACCTTCCATACAAAATTTTAAATTTTTGGCTCAAAAACGAATATTTTGTATGGGAGGTACCCTTAATTTTGGTTGAAATTTCTCCAAACCCTACGAATGTTATTTTTTTGTGAAAAAATAACCTGTGCAAAGTTTCACACCATTAATATAGCATACAGACATGGCTCCCATACAAAGATCCAAATTTTTTGTGACTTTAGTTATGGAAAGTGTTTCAAAAATAATTTTTATGGCAAAATTAACGTCAGACATATTTTTTATAGTATTTTGTTAGAAAATAGAATACTTTCAAATGTCGTACAAATGGGTTCATCATGAAAGTGTGAAAAATCTTTTCTCGGGTACTTCTGCTATTAAATTAAAAAATATTTCGTTGTTAATATTTACGCCGCTTGAAAGACTTGAAGAATCGAGCAAATATTATTTTGAACTTTCTTAATAAAATACGCAACTACCACAGTGCGGAAAAGTTCGTCTTACTCCCGTAAGACTTTTTATTTTTTTTTAATTAACCAGCCCCTCCTAAAACTCAGGACGTCAGAATCTATGGCGTTTTGTAAGAAAATAGAATACTGTCAAATGTCGTACATTGAAATATCATGAAAGTATGAAAAAGCTTTTGTACTTCTGGTCTCGAACTTTACGCCCCTTGAAAAATCGAACAAATATTATTTTGAACTAGTTTGATAAAATACTCATCTACCACCGTTCGGAAAACTTCGTCTTACTCCTGTAAGACTCTTTATTTTCAGTGGGAATTAATGTATTGTAGAAAATTTAGAGTGTACATATTCTACGTAAATTACATTTTTTTTTTAAATCGTGTAAATTTGCCAACCCAGACCATTAGGGAAAATGAATACAATGTGATTATTTTTTGCAACAATTTATCATTTATTCAGCTTTAAAAAAAATCTACAGATCTGTTTATATAAATCTTTTCCAGTGCGCAATGTGAGAGAAAAGCTATCTAGGTGTTTGTTTATTTAATGGATTATTTAAAAATTTATTTACTAATTGTATCTTTTGAAGATCCAGTCACTGGATAAAGAGGTAAAACTTAATTTTTTATAAACCATTCCAATCACCTTTTGAACCATTGGCATTAGTTAGATGTCAAATCACCAATAGAAATCGAACCACTATCAGAGCCAGGCACGCCACCTTTAGAACCCGAACCTTTTTTTGAGCCACCAAGCGCACCAGTCAAACCATCAACCGTATCATTCAAACCACCAATCGTACCAACAAGAGAGTTAGAGAGACCTCTTGAAGAAGACGCTGCACTAGGCGCAGAACCGCTTTTATCAGCAGACTTATTTTCACCGTTGACAGCAATAGCTGCGAGCAAAAGTGCGACAATAACGAATTTCATTTTCTTTACTTTTTTCAACTGATTCTTTTGAGAGAAGTAGACAGTTTGATAACTTTTCCTCGAATTCGATGGTCTTTTATACAAAATTTCAGAAAAATAAAAATATACATTATCATCATTTGCACAAGATGAATTCCAAACAAAGTTTGTTTGTTTGTTCAATTGGTCTGTGTTATTTATTTTATTTGTGTATTAAATAAATCGTTTTGTGTTTGTGAAAATAAATCGAAAACACCTTTTATTTATTCATTTTATGCGTACTTTATTTGTGTAGTTTGGAATTCGACAAATTTTATTTTGTACTTCTTCTTCACACCGAACATTTCATCGAATATTCTTTGCATATTATCAAGGTTGAGATGTACACGCGCCGGCACATGGTTATTGGTCAAATACATTCATTCAATATATGGGCACCGCTTTTGGAAAAAGTCCAACATTTAAAAATGTAGGATTTTTTCTTTAAAAGTATGACCAAAACAATTACCATGAAATGAAAACAAATGATGGAAAAATTAAATAAATGTGAAGAAGTCGAAATGTTGATTTTTTCCATGAAAAGTTCCCTCATAGTGGAATCGGTCAAACGGAAACGGAGGGTGACTAGGGATACACCATTGAAAAAGGTATTTGAACGTAAAATAAGATGGTATCATCAAATTTGAGATCCATTTATTTTGTTACGTTTCCATAAGTGACGAATGCAAATCAAATATTATAGATTCCATACATTATTCGGCAGCGGTCTTTGGAAAATGAAATCAAATCACGCAATTAAAAAGCGCATGTACTAATAAAATACTAAGATAAAATGACGAAAAGCCCTTCTTCAGGAGAGTTTTTTATGACAGCCGAATATCATTGGCTAAAAACAAAAAGAACATATACGAAAAGTAATTGGCCTCATTTGAAAGTTATCATTTGTTTATCATTCATATCGTAAATTTACGACGTGAATTATTTTATTTAACTATCATTTAGGCCTTTTTGTACATTTTTTGACGTCATCTTTATATGATCAGTTGATCACACCGGATCACACGCACTTATTATGTTCAAATGAAATAAAATTTTGCAAACTTTATACATTTTTTCTTACCTTCAAAATATAATCGTGACAAACAAAGATCGATGTGAACAGACAATGTATTTGTTGGCAACAGAAAGACTATTCAGAGTCAAAAGTCACGCTAATCGTGCATACAACCACTATATGGTCCCATCCAATTTAATTATAGCTGTAAAAGTGTTCTTCTATCACATTGTATCGTGGCTTTCTATCGTGATCTTCCTTGATTTGCATATAAAAAGCTGCCGACATCATCCAAATGAGCTGAAATATCTGGCTGACCGTATCTCAATGCTTAAATCAAATTTTGTCTTTACATATCATAAAAATCAATATGGCGGAATTGTCAAAATTGTAAACAAATTCCTATCTTCTTCAATCTTAATATGAGTTATTGTCAATCAATACCCACAGAACATCATTTGGTAGAACGTAAAAAATAATCGGAATGTATCACATTGGAGCTTAGAGAATTGATAATATATTTAAAAAAAACTAGGCATCAAAAATTTGGCGCATCAATTGAGCCATTTTACACATTTATTGTAGTCATCCATATTTACAAATAAAATAAAATTTAGCCAGCTCTATAAATTTATCTCATACGCATTCAAATTATAATTGTAACAAGTAAAAATAAAGCTAAGTAATCTGATACAACAAAGTCATAAATAGTCATACATATGACAACATCTATTCAATAAATATGTTGTCAAGCTCAAAAGCGACTCGTTCATGTTATCATTTCTGTACATTTATTATATAATCATGTTTGTTTAATTGATTAATAATTTGCAAATATTCCATGAAAATAGTCCACGTCAATTTCTAACAACCACCAACCACTATAAATACAGCGACTCAATGCACCACCGGCAATAGTCTGTTTGTAACACTCCGTCTGTTGAAAAGTTCACGAAAATGAAATACCTTCTTGTGATTTTTGCTCTTATTGCATGTCTTTTTGGACTTTCTCAAGGAACAATCTGTGCACGAGATAGGAGAAGTCGAAATTATCAAAATTTTCCTACATATACAGAAATGGCCAGAGAGAATGGTAGAGGTGGAGGTGAGATGAGATGATAACATTATCAACATTCAATCTGGAATCATACACAGAGAAAAAAAATTTGGTAAATGTAAAGGGTAATTTGTAAGTTTAATATTACTTTACCAAATTACCGTACGAATTCTACCATTTTGTCATATTTTCAAAACAAACGACACGAACAAATTAAATTTACCCCAGCATAATATTACATTTACCAATTGCCGCGTAGCAGTCAAATCATACCTAACGTCGACATATCATCGACTGTGTTATTAAATTCTTCGTATTGAATTCGACGATTTTGATTTCACTTTTATCGACGATTTCTGTATTATTCATAAACAAATTATTAAAATTTGCCAATCCCAATTCTGATTTGATCTCTTCGCTTTTATTTTTTTGAGGACAAAAGTTCACGCGATTAGACATGTTGTAGGTTGTGAACAATACGATGATATGTCGACGTTAGGTATGTTTTGACTGCTACGCGGCAATTGGTAAATGTAATATTATGCTGGGGTAAATTTAATTTGTTCGTGTCGTTTGTTTTGAAAATATGACAAAATGGTAGAATTCGTACGGTAATTTGGTAAAGTAATATTAAACTTACAAATTACCCTTTACATTTACCAAATTTTTTCTCTCTGTGTACGTAAAATATATAATATATTTTTTTCCCACTATTTTTAGACTACGAATTCGTACATGATGGACATTGTTAATTTCATGGGGATATATATTGATCAACGCAAATAAAATTCGTTTGATATAATCTAAACATCTGTTTCTTAATCAGTTATGTAATATTTTTTGTGTACGATTAAAAAAATACATTCACACAGAAAATTTTTTGATTATTAACTGACTAAATCCCTTACGAAAATAAAATGTCTTACATCCGTAAGATGAACTTTTCCGCACTGTGATCCACGACATG